TAGTAATATTAGTAGTATTAGTAATATTAGTAGTATTAGTAGTATTAATAGTATTAGTAGTATTATTAATATTATTAATATTATTAGTATTATTGGTATTATTAGTATTATTGGTATTATTAACATTATTGGTATTATTAATATTATTAGTATTATTAATATTATTATTATTAGTATATCACGGACTTTGAAAGAGACGTCTAGTTCGAGGATCTTAAGACAGCCTCTTTCTTACCTTAATTCTATATAAAATTGCCTTTTTCTTATATTAATAATATATTGTTTTGCATGATTCACATCTGATCATGATCTGCACCTAACAAAGGCACTAGCAAGAAAGCTTTAATGAAATAATCCACTTGTTGCGGGCTAGAAACCGAGTAATTGACGAGCTCAAAGTAACTTTACTTTCTTGTTTAGTTGACAATTAAGTCCAACTAAAGTACTCTTGTTAAACAAGATCACACTTAAACAGGAAAAATCCCTTCTCCATTAACTAGTTTGCAAATTCGAAGCCAGTGTTTCATTTTTTTTTTTCCATTTATAAATCTAATGTTTTCTGAAGACATAACAAATACTGTAACAACTAAATATATATATATATATATATATATATATGTGCAGAGAGAAATAAGTACTAAATGAGAAGCGTAAGATCTTGTTCTTGCATTACTAGGTATTAACTAAATGATCAGTGAAATAATGTTTTGGAACAAGAAATTAAGATAACTGATAATGGGACAGGTTTATGACCGTTTAGTTGTGACTTGTAAGGATTCTTAGCAGTCTTGCCTTGAATACTTTTGTTGTCACATAGAAATAATCTTTTGTCATTTGTGAATTGTGACTCCAGAACTGGAAATAAGCACGTCTCCAAGAGCTCTTAAGCACTAATGTCCCGCAAACTCCCCAGAATCCGACGATAAATCCGATTGCTGTGCTAACATAAAACCCAAATGTCACATACCCAACATCCTCGTCGCCTTCCATATTCTCATTTTCATGGCCATCAGTGACACCAGGATCTCCAGGGCAATATTTTGTGACTGGTGGTCCACAAAGTTGGTGATTTCCTTCATATGCAGAAGCATCAAAGCTTTGAAGTTGGGTGCTCAATGGAATCCTTCCTGTCAACCTGATGTGCGACAAGTCAAGGTGACTGAGAAAATTTAAGCTAGAAAAGCTCGCCAGAATTGTACCAGATAGCTGGTTTCTTGACAAGTCAAGAGATTCCAACATGTTTAGCTGACCAAAGTTGACAGGAATACTTCCCCTCAAGCTGTTCCTTGATAAGTTCAAATTATGTAATGCTCGAAGACTTGTTATGTTATCAGGAATTTCCCCACTTAAGTAGTTGCTCGAAATATCAATGCTTCTCATCAGTTCAAGATTCCTCCTGAACTCGAGCTCTATTCCTCTCCACATCACACTTGCAAAATCAATGAATCCACCAGCTCTGCCTTCAGATAACATTGCAGTCATATTGCCGAGGCAATGTGGCAAATCCCCAGATAAATTGTTTAGCGAGAGGTCTAATACCTGGAGAGCTGGAAAGCTGCAAAAACTTGTGGGTATGCCTCCGGATAACTCATTTGATCTTAGCCGCAAAACTGTCAGAGATGGTAAACTTTGTCCTGACCATTCTGGTATTCTTCCAGATATTCTGTTATCTCCGATGTCAAGAAGCACCAATTCTCTATGCAGGTTCTTGAAAGAGGGAAGTTCTCCGGAGAAGTTGTTGTTACGCAAGTGTAGTAACGCAATCTGGGGTAGAGAGACTAAAGAGATCGGTATCTTCCCAGAGAAGTTATTATTTGCCAGATTCAGGACAAAGAGCTCCTTAAATTTCACCCAACAAGTTGGAAGTTCTCCTGATAACCTGTTGTCGGAAAGGTCAAGATGGTTCAATGGCGCAAGGCGCGTTGCACACAAGGAAGACATGTTTCCTGAGAACATGTTCTTTGAGAAGATCAAAATGGTTGAGTTTGGAGGAAATGGTGGGAGTGAACCATATAAATGGTTGGAACTCAGATCAATTGTTGGATAAACATAAGCCTTTGATGATAGATTTGGCAACTCCCCATGAATTCTGTTGAGTGAGAGATTCATGTACGCTAAGGTGGAAGACAGGTCCCAAAACCAATAAGGGATCGAATCCGAGATACTAGCTTTGGAAATGTCGAGTGATTCGAGCTTTCTCTGTGTTCGAAGCCATCTAGGAAAAGCAGGGCCCAACTTGCTAGAAGTCGTAGCTAATTCTTTCAGTTGAAAGGGTGGAATCCAATTTGAGCTCATGTTGAATGAGAGAGAATTATGAGAAAGTATCAAGGACTTTAGACTAGAGAGATTCAGAAAGTGGCCTTCAGTTACGACACCAGAAAACGAATTCGAGGACAGATCAAGCTCTTTGAGTCGGGAAAGTTGACCAAGGCTCTCAGACAAAGTACCATTCAGTTGATTTTTCAATAGATCCAACTTTTCCAATGATGCAATTCCTGCTAAATTTGGTAACATCCCACTAAGCTGGTTAAAAGCCAAGGACAATGATCTAACCTTGGAGAGTTTCCCAAGACTTTTGGGGAGGGATCCATTCAAACTGTTATTTGGTAGCATTATTGTCTCCAAGGATGAAAATCTTGTAAGGTCTGGAAATGGGCCCCGGAATCGATTATAGCTAAGATCCAAAACGGTTAGAGTATCTGCAGCGCAAGATAATCTTTCCACAAAATCTTGAAGTTGGTCAGACAATTTGTTATATGATAGGTATAAGTATCTTAATCTGCAAAGATTACTGAAGGAGTTTGGTATCCCACCTTCGAGTTCGTTTAAAGAGAGATCAAGAAAGACAAGGGAGTGTGAAACTGCTATTGTGAAAGGATCTGGGAGTGGACCTTTTAACTTGTTGGCTCTTAATCCAAGGTGGTTTAGGTTGTTGCTGATATTGAACAACCAAGAAAATACAGAAGAAGTGAAATCATTCCCAAAGAGTTTAAGGACTTGAAGAGTTTTGGATGCATTCATTTTGGAAAGTGATTTGGGATTTATGTCAGAAAGTTGACAATCTGTTAATACAAGTTCTACCAAAGAAGGGAGCTTGGTTACAGGTTGTGGCCAATTTTCAACCTCACTTTTCAACCTCACTAAGATAAAGACCAGACAAGTTAAGGTATTTCAATGAAGCAAGACTAGAAAGCAATTCAAGGTTATCAACAGTGAGAGCATAGTTGTAACTAAGATCAAGGGTATGCAGAAGTGAGACATTTCCTAGTTCTTTAGGAAGGGGTCCATGAAAGTGTGCACCTGCAAGCTTGAGCTGTCTCAATTTGCTCAAGGAACCGATGAATTTCGGGATTGTATATCCCTGAAAATTGTTGTTGCTGAGGTCGAAGTAATTCAAGTATTTTAGCTCAAGCTGTGACGGATTGATCTCACCTCTCAAAGTCTCCTTAGAGGGATAAAAAGCTGAAACATTGTAATGGAGATCAAGCATGGTGACATGTCCCGTACGGCTGTTGCACGTAATCCCGATCCACTTGCAACAATCCTTTTCAAAGAGTGTCGGAGTCATCGACTAGGCCTCGTTTAAACTTCAGGAGAGCTTGCTTTTCCTTCTCTATGCACCAGTTGACATTGGAAGTCCCAATTCCTAAACACGTATTAGCGGCCATGGGGATCACACATATAAGGCCAGCCAGGGCAAAATGAATGGACTTGTTTCCACTAATCATGTTGAACAACATGATTGAGATCATGCAAAGAGATGAGTAACCAACAACAACAACAAGAACAACTGAATTTTAGCAATGGAAGCAGGAGATGTGTAGCAACAAATTTAAAGAGAAAGCGGCTTTCGGTTTTATTTTAGTTTATTCTTTAAAAGCCATTTAACTGTTGAGGGTCAATCTTTGAAGTTTATTTAAATGGCTCTGCTGCAGCCAGGAAACTACGCAGATTGTTATGTAAATGGACGAGTCATTCATTTGTTTAGTACCCTTGAGAGAAGGCAGATGGTTCTTGTCTGATGTTTTTATCTGCTCTCTCTTGTGGATTATAAAAAGGATCTAGTTCAAAGTCTAGTTTTAGTTGGAAACGTTGTTGTCACTTCAGGGTTGGAAAGAGAGAAAAATAATTCATTCAAAACTAGGGTGAATTTAAAATATAAATATTTTTATTAAATTTTAAAAAAGAGTTTTTCTATTTATTAGAGTTAAAAGAATAAAATAATATAAAAAATAAAATAATTAGTCACTCCATATTAACTGTATTTAATTAGTGTGGAATGTATTCTCTAAAATAGTTAACTATTTAATTAATTGTTAGAGTGGAGAAAAGTTAAGAAAAAGTTATATCATTAGTCATTTTAATTAAAAACATAAAATAACTAACACGGTTGGAGTTGTTCTTGTATAATATAGTTGGCTGTATGTATTTTTACCAAATTTACATGTCTCATTCCTGATATTTCTTATTTAGATGCATGCACAATCTTATCGTGATATTTGGTTTTGCTTGACTTAAAAAATAAAATTTTTAAATAAAAAGACTAGTCACGTTTATCCTTTTTGTATTAGTACAAGATAGGTTGATAATTTCCAAGAGACTTGAGAAGTTAACCCTTGTGTCGCCAAAGGGGCATAAAGAAAGTAAGAAACCCTTGACGTCGTTTTTATTATTTTTCTGGATATGGTGCTTTTTATTATTTTCCTGGATTTGACAGCACCATGGATAACCTTGTCATTATTCCCAATTAAAATTAGCGATGTTTCACACAAAAAAAAAAAAAAAAAAAAAAAAAAATTAAAATTAGTGATGTGGTTTCTTTGTTAAAATAGTACACGGCATCTCCTTTTTGCAGACAAGATACAAAACTAACAATGTGCCGTCTTTAGTTAGTGTTGTCATTTGGGCTGGGCCGTCCATGAACGGCCCTGCCCAACTTGTAATAGTGCCGGATTTGGCACGGCCCGGTACGCTATTGTTACGGGCCATGCCGGGCCGGCACATATAATGGGCTAGGGTTGGGCCTCGGCTTCTCAGCCCGTGGCCCTAGCCCGTGAAGGCCCGCGGCCTGGCCCAAGTCCGGATTCAGCCCGGCCCAGGCCCGCGAAACGGCCCACAGACCGTTCTAAATGTGACTGTTGGGCCCTTCGCGGGCCCAACGGTCGGCCCGTGATGGGCCTCCCATTTGGCCCGTGACGGGCCTCCTGTTAGGCCCGTCACAGGCCGCCCGTTGGGCCCACGAAGGGCCTAACGGTAACAATCCGAAAATGGCCCAAAAAATCCCCTATAAATACCCCTTAATTCCACCATAAATCCCACACAATAATTCACTCTCAACTTCTCATCTCACTCTCATTATATCTGTCATCTTGTCTTTTTCATTTTGATTCTAAGATTTTTTCTCGCGATCACTCATTTTCTTGCTCTTTCATTTATAAAGTTCAAGTTCAATCAATTTTTAGAAAATGGTCACATCAAACTTCACTGCTCTTCATGAGCTTGGTGATGAGGCATTTTTTGAGGATGAAATGATGCCTCCCAACCCCACCCCCACTGAACTAGAAAATGCTCTGGGAGTACTAGTCATCTGGATAGATATTGGAAAGTATGTCTACTGTTATACTAAGGTGGGAGTGTGGACTCCTGCCAACAAACACTATCACTCACATCACAGGGGTTACAAAATTTTACATACGATGTATAACGTGCTCGTGAGGCACTAGCTAAATTCTAGCTAGTGCCGAACTGCCTCTTTCTTTTGCAGATGATGCGTCGTTCGAAGAATTCATCCAGACGGCCTTCTGCCCATAATTTAAACGGGTAAGTAGAAACACAACTCGTTCTGATTGCATGAAAGTGTTTTATGCAATGAAACAATCTCTTGTTGATAAATTTATGACTTTTAATGCTACTGTCTCTTGCACTTCTAATCTATGGGAGAGGTGCAATAAAATTGGATATTTATGTATCACGGCGCATTATATTGATGACGAATGAGTTTTACAAAAAAGAATAATTGGTAATCGTTTATGTCCATATCCTTATAACGCATCATCTATTTTTGGTACAATAATGAAAATTTTTGGGCTTTATGGGATAGAAGATAAAGTTTTAACTATTACTTTTGATAATGCGTCAACTAACATGGCTGCATTTAACATGTTTAAACGTAGTTTGAAACCAGCATGGGGGGGGGGATTTCATCAACGGTGTGCATGTCACATAATCAATTTAGTAGTTCATGCAGGAATTGAACATATTTCATCTAATCTAACAAATATTAGCGAATTTTTATCATTCATATCTAGTTATGATATTATAAGAACAGTCAGATGCGCCTAAGAAAGTTTACAATTGACGTGAGACATAGGTGGAATTTCACCTATTTAATGTTGAAGGTAGCACTCACGTATTCACAGCTTATCACGACGTATGTAAACAGTAAGAACGATCAACTTTTAATTTTCGATACAGATTGACAGATTGGTGAGTATTTTTTTTTTTAATTTCTAGAAGTTTTTTACAATGCTACTGAATTACTTTCTAGAGTTTATTATCCTACTGTATATTTAGCTTTACATCAACTATTTAATATTTCAGAAACATTTTCTTATTATAGGGATACATAACTTTTTGGAAACATAGTTAAGTTAATGAAAAATAAATTTAAAAATTATTGGTCAGGTTGTCCTATGTTATATGCATTGGCAACCATTTTAGATCCTAGGTGCTGAGTAGATGGGACTGACTCATTGATGACTGCTACAATAAAAAATTTAGGAATATATATGCAACTAACTATTACTGACAGTAAGAGAATGTTAGAAAATGTATTTAGTTTGTATGAAGCAAAATACGACACATGTAAAAAAGAACAGAGAACTTCGACGTCAACTAGCAGTTCGGGGCCTAAAGGATCGTCGTGGAGTTTCTTGAAGAAGAAAAAGAAAACGGCAGGATCGTCATCAAAACAAGCGTCTACTGAACTAGTAAAATATTTTGAAGTAAATTTTGTAATCGATGACGACAAACTAGACATCTTACAGTGGTGGAAGAGCAAGATCGATCGTTTTCCAACACTGTCCGTAATAGCTCGTGACATTCTGACAACTCTAGTGTCAACGGTAGCATCAGAGCAAGCATTTAGTGCAAGTAACCGAATTCTTGACGAGAAGAGAAGCAAAATGCATCCAGATATCTTGGAGGGGCTAATGTGCGTTAAAGACTGGGAAGATGCCAGAAGACGAAAATAACAATACACGGATGATTCAATGCAAGAATATTTTTCTAACTTAGAAATAACAGAATCTTCTGGAAGTACTTAGGTTTGTAATTTACTATTCCTTCCTATTGCACTCTTTTTTCCTTCACTAAGGTTTTGTCCCGATCTCCCAACGCGTTTTACTTGGCAAGGTTTTTAATAAGGCAGTCATTTATGTGTACTTATTCCTATTATGTTAATTCAATAAAATCACATCTTTTGAGGGCATATGATATAATTTCATTTTTTTAATTAAATCTAAAAAAAATACAATTTGTTGGACCGGCCCGTGAAGGGCTTGGGCCCAGGCCCGGCCCTGGCCCATATGGACTAGGGCCGCGGGCCTGAGTTTTTCCTCTCAGGCCCGACCCTGCACTGTGCAGGGCCGTGCCAGGCTCGGCCTTAGCCCGTCACGGGCCTGGTATTGGACGTGCAGTGCCGGCCCGGCACGGCACATTTGACACCTTTATCTTTAGTTAAAGGTAAAACGAAACAAATTGTCGTTTATTATTCAGCGTAATCTACTTGTCGTTTCATGTTTGAGGTTACAACTTACGATGACATCGGATGTCGTTTGGGAATTTTTGTTGTTACTTTTTGTACAATTTTATTACAAACTCAACCATACAGAAAAAAAAAATCATAATGTTCATATAGAGTCCTCAAGGTATTTACTTTTATGCGGTGTATCATACTTCACAAGTACATGCATACTTTTGTTACCAATTATGGAGGAGAAAGGAAAAAACATGTAGACAAT